GGAACAAAGTAACAAAGAATGATGTGGCATAAACCACAAAACCTCTCAGAACTGTATGTGCAATTAAAAATTCTAACAGGTGAAAAGTGTCCCCACTTGGTTTTGATCCAACAGAAAGTGAACTGCCAAGTTTATTGTAACAATGTTTCCATGTGCGCAAGGCGGAGAGGTGGATCCAAGTGGCCCTAAACCTCTGTGTGATGGGGATTGGGCCCAGCCCCTAAAGCCCAGAGGGGCAACAGAACATTCACAGCTTGGTTTGGGGTGTCCCTGTGCAGACTAAGCCCCTGGTCAGAGCCCTGAGCCAAGGAAATGCAGGGAGGACGTGTTCACTGGTGGCCCACCTGCCCTGCTCGTCACCCAGGGTTCCCAGGATGAGCCAGCCTGTCCTGGGCAAACGGGAAAGGAAAAATGGGATTTCAAGTGCAGCCAGATGTGAGGAATACCCACACTCCTGTTGGGTTTTGGGGAGCCTTTGCTCAGCAGCAGCAGACACCCACACCACACACGTGAGGGTGAGAACACTCCCGACTTCTGCATGCAGACAACAGCTCTGGTTTGGACAGGGGCTCCCAGAGTCCTGACACTGCTCAGGCGTACCTGGGGGCTGCCCCGTGTGACATCCCCAATGGAATTCTCCACAGCACAGGCTGATTTAAGGGCTCAGACTGCTGTTTTAGTAACAGGAGATTCTAAACACCAAGAAGCTGCTTCCCATCCGACCTCCAAAGCACATGGGCAAAGGTCTTCACATTCCCCCTGAGCAGCTCCAGAAACACCATCGGGCACAGCCGCTGTTTGTCACCTCTGTGCCACCTGTTCCCTACAAGGGGCTGCTGGAATACTGCTGGATGAGCCGCTGGTGGCAGGGGTTGCAGACACGCTCAGGATTGATGCTGGACGGAAGGGGCAGCTCGTGCACCGAGCAGGCTTCACAGAAGGTGCCCCCACAGTTCTTGCAGATGTTCTGGAATGCAGGAAAAGGAAAGAGCAAGAGTCAAGGAGAGCTCCAGGTCTTGGCATATCAACTCAGGGAAGAGCAAACACTGAGCTAAAGAAGGGAAAAAGCTGCTGCGGGGGAGGAAAACCAAAACCACTGAACAGGGAACCATCACCCCATCAGCATTTAACAAAATTCTGTTAAGGGCAGAGGGGCCTGCAAGGGCTCATTTCTTAGGACACCTCACCAGCAGGAATCTGATTCCATAACAAAAAGCAGAGGGAACTCACAGTCACTAGGTGTGGGAGATGGCAGGTCAAGCCCAGGACTTGCCTTTCTTTGGCTCCGGCTGCCCTCCTCCTGGCAGAGCTGGCAGATCTCGGCGTGTCCAGGCCCCGGCAGCTGCTCCTACAGCCCAAGCCAAAACCAAGAGATTCTGCTTTATACAGCTCCTGTGGCAGAGCTCGGCAGCAGCAAGGGGGGAGCTAAACATTGGGAACAAGCTGGCAGCAGTAGAAATTCCCAGTGGACAAGAGAGCACAAGGCATCCCAGTGGCTCTCTGGGGGTCTGGCTGTGCTTTGCCAGGCACATGGAGGAGAAGGAGAGGATTTTGGTCCAGCGGATTTACAGGAAAAGAGCAAAACCACCAAGAAGGAGAATCACCCACCTGCTCTTCCTGTGTGCCACTGGGTGACCTACAAGGGAACAAGAGCATCACTTGGAGCAGGCCTTCCCTCACCAGAGCCTTTAAATAAAACAGCTGTGCTATCAGGGAATTCGCTCATCCCGTTTTTAAAACCCTCCCCAGATTTTTGAGTAGCAAAAATTGAACCTGGTTCAATGGTAAAAGGAGAAGAAGAAATTGCAAAATGCATTCAGGAGAGCAGGAAGACAGGGATTATGAACACAGGAAAGACTGTTGAGGTGCTACAGCACAACAGTTTGGCTTTAAACACAGGCCTGCAGGTTTGATCCCTACCCCTGCTGTGAAATGCAGTAACAAAGCACCACAAGGCCTGTAAACCATCAACCTGACCCTCACTTGCTTAAACACTCCAGGTAAAACAGGGGTAAAAACAATCTCACACATGGAAGGTTTTTAATATCTGGCAAAGCAGATTTGAACTGCTTTATGCTATTTTAAGAGGATATTTTCCTGATTAACTCATTGATTAACTCACTGATTAACTCAATGGAGAGTGCCTCGAGGACACAGCAGAGCCCTGACAGTCAGAGCACTTCCAATGGGCTGTTCCATCCGGAGCCAAAGCCTCAGCACTGAGCTGTGCCCAGGGGCTTAGAGAACACCTTTTATCTCCTAAAACCAAATATTCAAATCCTGCAGCAAGAATCCTCTGTAATAATTCAGCTTGGAAACAAGTGACCTGAACCACAATTTTACACAGCCACCTTCTTAAAATCACACTTGAAATTCTTTCTCCAACAGCTTCTCTTTAGGAGGTCCAAATACCCTTCTCCTTTCCCTCACCAAAGATACTTTGGACATTAGTTCCAAAGGTCTTGCATTTAGCTTACCAAGGATTCTTGAGTTAGAAAAATTAGTAAACAGCAGGTTTAGATGGAAAAGAATTCAAAGATAAATGGGAGAGACACAAAGCTTTTCCCATCTGAAAGCACTGATGGCAAACAACAGAACCTGCTCCTTCCCTTTTGAGAGCTATGGAAAAGCAGCAGAGAACTCAACCAAGGGCATGAGGTTGGAAATCCTCCTTAAAAAGGGAAGTTGGACTATTCCCAACTCCCTGTTGGCACAGAAATTGGAGAGGGGGAAGCAGGACTTGGGAAGGGAGAGGCAGAGATGAGATTTGTTTCCTTCCTTACCTGTGTGGCAGGACACTGTTCTCTCTCAGTGGCTGCTTTGGTTTAGCATTTTCTTCCTGGACTTTGAGCTTCCCATCCTGCCAAAAGGAAACACTCACCCATCAGCTGCACTAGAGGAGAACTCCAGCTCCACTCCTGTCACACTGCAAGGGGAGAACTGGCACTGCTATTTTGGGATACTGCTCTGCCCCTCCTTGGCACAGAGGGGTATCTGGGTCCCAGTTTCCCCTGGGAGAAGCTCTCAGGGCTCTCTCTCTCTCTGTGCCTCTCAGAGGTGGGCAGGGGTCCCATGACCTCCTGTTGCCAGGAGCCACAGCCACCAGTTCTTACTTGCACAGCAGAGGCTGAGAACGAACATGGGCTTAAGAAGTTTTGTAAAAGCTGACCAGAGACAAACCTTCCCATCCAGCAAAGAAAAGAATCCTCCTCTTCTCCCCAGCTGGGTCACAGCTGAGCCATGAGCCCTAGAGCACTTCACTGAGATTGTGTAATACTATTCAAAAAAGACAAAATGGTCTGCACCATTCAAGCAGACCAGAAAGAAGCAAGGAACTGCAGAAGCCATCTCTGTTACTGCACAATTCTCACTGCAATTCAAACTGCCTGTCCAGAGTGTATAAAAATCTTCCCAAAGCTGCTCTGGTTGTGGCACATGAACAACAACCATTTACTGCCTGAGAAAGCTCAGTAAAAGCAAACAAGCCCAGGGAAAGTGTACCTCAAACCCGAGCCAAAACCCAAGTCACATTACCTGTCTGAGCCAATTCTTTGGGCCTTTTTTGCTTTCTTGGCTGCGCTGGTGACTCTGAGACCATCTGTCTCTTTCCCGCCTTAGCTCCAGTTCTAGGTGGCTCCTGGAATGCCAGGTGGAATTGTGAATAAAGGACAGTCTGGGGACACTTGGCATTGACAACTGATGAGCTGTTTGACCCTTTGTTCACACCCCTAACTCAAGAGCTAAAACTGCCGCTTGGAACCCAAGGCTGCCTCGCAGTGTGTTTAGCCATAATGTGTCAGGATGAAAAAACCTCCAATCCTTCATCTAATTCTGGCACCATTCAGCATCCAACTGATGCAAAACCAGACCCATTTGCCCTTGTCCTCCTGAGCTCACCCATGCACACTCAGGACCTCACACCAATTGCTGACCAAAGCCACTTTGTGCTTGGCAGAGCAGCTTTTGGAAAAAAGAAATAAAAAGCTGGGCCAGGAGGGAAGAAGGGACAAAAACCTCCATGCATCCAGCAATGCTCCCACAGAGTTCATCCCAGTGACCTTGCAACAAGCCACAGATGGGTCAAGGCTGAAGGAATGCTCTTCTCTTTTAAGGAAAGAGATTTGTCTGTGTCCCTGTCACTGCTCAAGTGATGAGGCTGCAGGGAGGAGGTGATGGCTTTTTGATAAGGTCTCTGTTTGAGTTCCAGCAAAACTAAGAGCAGTTCCAACAGGGAAAAAATCTATGTTGAAGTACTGTGTGTCAGATAAGACAACCAAAATCACTGTCCTTGCTCCAGCACCTTCAGTGTTTGCTCCAGGCAGAGACTTGGCTGCTCAATCCCTGCCCAGGAGCAGCAAATTGTTAATGTTAGCTTTGATTTCCCAAATATCACAGAATCACAGAAGGTTTGAGTTGCCAAGCACCTTACAGATTATCTTGTTCCACCCTGTGCCATGGGCAGGGACACCTTCCACTGCATCAGACTGCTCCCAAGCCCTGTCCAACCTGGCCTTGACCACTTCCAGAGATGTTACCAAGGACTTCCCTCCCTGGAGTTACACCTCGTGCCATCTAACACACAACTTGCCTCACTCCCCTCTCCATCCCCTGCTGCCCTCTGCCACCATCCCCCCTGCTCTCCCCTGGCCACAGCACTACCAGCCCAGAAAAGAGGTTGGAAAAGGGTCTCTTCACCGCTGCCTGGAGAGCTCTTCCACTTCCAGCTGGAGGCTGTTGATTTTGTCCCCAAACTCCTGCTTGAAGAGCCGGTTGTCCTGCAGGGCCTGCTGCCGCTCCTTCTCTGCCTGTCGCAATCTGGATTTGAGCCACATGAACTTGTGATAAAAAACAAAAGCCATGGTGGGGAGGAAGACTGAGTTTAACCAACAAATAAAAAACCCAGTGAAAAGGTAAAGCCAAAAAAAGAGAATGGTAAAAACAATGGAAAGGAGGAAAAAATGTTCAAAGCAAAGCAAAATGTAGGTGAACCAGGCAGAAGCTCTCATTTTCAAATAGTTTTTATTCTATCACTACAGTTTACAGCCATTAGATGAGAAACAGAAAACATCACTTTTATCCAGATTCGAAGCAAACCTCAAGTACACAGAATTTTAAGTCCAATTGGAGTTTAGTGTACGTTACATTTTGGCTTTGCACAGGTAACTGGAACTTGGAACATAGGTAGTAGCTACTCTATTGAGAATTAGTGCATATTCCTGGTCTCGCCCATGGATGGACACTTGGGCTCAAGCCCCAAGCATCAGTACACCACCACATTGCCACTTGGGGCCTGACATCAGAAGCAGCCAGATCCTTAAATCTGTCTGACTGCAGCACAGATCTCACCATCCAACCCCCTGTTCCTACAGCAGAACTGTGCCAAGGGGCAGGGGCTTCCCACCCTAACCAGCTGTTGACACTCCTTGATCAAAGCTTCCACCTTTCCCTTAGGATTACTCGTTCTGCAGGGAGTTAGGATGAGTTTCTAGTAGCAGGTTACTGAGGGGTGAGTTTATAGGTTCAAGCATGCAGCTTGGGCATAGCAGGGAAGTTCCCAGCAGGGCTGTGCTGGGAGCCTGGAGAACAAGGGCTTGTCACATTTGCCAGCCACAGCCCCCAGGAGCACTGTCCCACAGGTCAAAGGGAGGACTGGCACCAAAGAACCACTACAGGCATCTCACCACAGCAAAAAACCCTTACTCGACACAGAAACTCCCCAAATCCAACCTTCCAAAAGAGAAAATACCTTGAGGAGCACTTACAAACCTAAAACCTGCCAGAGGCCAGCACAGGAACTTCAGTGATCAGAGAATGTTAGTTTATAATAGTTCAGGCTACAGTTACTTCAGATTTTGCACCTGGGTTTTAAACTGACAATTATTTTTCCTATTAAGAGGCATTTCTAAGCTTTAGCTCTTGTTCCATTAGCAAATTCCATTTGTTTTGAGCAAAGCAAACTCACAAGAAAATGCAACAAGTGTAAAAGGCAACTCTTCAGCCACCAACTACTTGGACAAGTAAACTGCAAGGACCAAATTTCCATCTCCACTCCCCACTGCTGCACACTGGGTTCCTTCTCCTTTTTTTGAAGGTCTTTTTGCTTCCTTTAAACAAAGATCAGATTATTTTTTAGAAAACTGGTAACTTCCCTTTCTGGGAAGGGGAGAGACCTCCCAAAACACCTCTCCTCCACTTCCTTTGGTCAGGAAGGACCACAGGGTTCTTCTGGAGGGATTCCTGGCAGAGGTAGAAGCAATGCAAAGAGAAGGAGGTTTCCACTGAACTTACCACTCTATCATGTTACTCTAAGACACCTATAGCTACTAATTCTGGACACATGAAGTTGAAAGGAATAAGGATAAGTCCCCACCCTCCCCCCAGGTCCCTAAGGCAGAATCCAGGCAGGCTGGTTACGGGAGGGCCGGTGTTCCCGGTGCCGGGCCAGCGTCGCGCCTGCTCGGCTCGGACTCGGGGCTGGACCCACAAAACAGAAGAGAACAGGGAATGGCTTGGGGCACGCACACAACTACTGTCAACAACTTCCAGGGATGCATTTCTCATCTACTTCACAAAAGGGCAATACAGAGAAGGAGCTGACTGTCCCGAGCTGGCCACGGCCCCGTGCTGCCACAGGCGGTGATGGCAGCGGCCGGGCACGGCCACCTCAGCCACTCCTGGGGCGCTCTCAGGCCAGCTCCTTGGTACTGGTAAATGGCAGGGCTGGGGATCCTTATACCTGACTACATCTTGGCAGAAAAACTCACTGATTTTAAAAACTCAGCAAATTCCAAATCAACTTTGGGTGACAATTAACATTTGAACAGTTGCTTTTAGCAATTCTCAAGTTCTCTCCTTATAAATGAGTTCTGATGTCAGAGCTGTGAGGTGGCCAGACATAAAAATGTCTAATGATGCTTCTGGATCAGTTTGTTTGCTGCACTATTTAAGGTTTTTGCCTGTTTCACCAAATCCTTTTCACTGTATAAGTAAGTCAGAATGAGGATGATGAGAAAACAGAAAAAATAGGAACAGCAAGAGAAAAAGAACACATGAATTAGATGAGTAGGTATCAGGAAATATTTTCAAAAACAAACTTGTTTTAAAGAAAATCACCCTGTCTACAGAAACCCTGAAATGAGAGCACCCAATGGAGTGCAATGCACTGCTCATTAACCAGGTCCCAGAGGTGCCTACTCCCACTGCTCCCCTCAGGCAGCTCTGTCTAGCAGAGCACTGGGACTCTCCCCTGGCCCATTCTGGATCCATGGGACACTACACTAAAGGACATACCAGTGGATCCTGGCTCAAGTTTCCTGTCTTACCTTTGTTCCAGCTGTTTGATGGTGGCAGCCATCTGATTTGTTTTTTCTTCCAAGCGGCTGTTTAATTCACTCTTCTGTTTCACTCCCATGTCTGAACTCTGGGAAAAGGAGCAGTGGGGGTTGGTGTAAGGAGTTGTAAATCCCAGATAAACCCCCATCAATCATTTGGCACACAAAACAACAGGGCAAAAGGTAAAGAGGCAGTAAAAAGTGCTGGAAAATCAAATGCCAGGTCAGTATTGCAAGGACAAATGTCCTGCCGTAGAGGTGCAGGCTCCATCTGGACCCTGCAACAGGGCAATGCCACCATCCATAAAGCTTCCTGCATATGGAAAATGCATGATGCAGTGCCTGCCAATACCCAGTATCTTAATATAATTCAGCTGCTTTGAACAAAGCCATTGGCTCAAGGAGAGCAGAAGCAACTCTTTCCAGCTGGCAAGTTGATTTTGGGATCTATTCTGAGCATTGGGTTGCTGTTTGGAGTCTGCTTGTCACCCCATGAGTCACACCAGGGGCCCTGCACACCAGACTCTGCTGGAACACAAGCTCCCACAGCTCTATTCACACCACAAAACCACCCAAAATGCTTTCCCTGTCTCTCACACAAATTTCTGGACCATGATGGATTTTTGTTCAGAAGAAACTGTCTTCACCTTTACCCTCCACCATGTTCCCATGTTCTCACAGAAAGACAGGAGTGCACTGCACAGCCTGTGACCCTTACACACCCAGTACCTCTCCAACAGGCAGGAGGAATAAATACACAGCAGCTCTCACTTCCATCTGGAATTCCCTGCATTTCCATAGCTCCCTACCTGCAGCTTGAAAGACAGTTCATGCTTTAGAGCCCTGAGATCGTCCAGCTGCTGCCTGAGTGCCACCAGCGCATCCTGCTTTTCACAGACATCCTTCTCCAGCATCTTCATGGCCAGCTCCATCTCCTGCCGCATCCCGATCTGTGCCTCCAGCTCCTTCTCTACATCCTGGAACACAAGGAGCCCTCAGCATCTCCAGGAGCTGCCCTCATGACGCAGGGGTATCCACCCTTCCCTTCTGCCTACGCAGTCCCTACCCACAAGCGCGCTGCTGCCACAGCTTCAGAGTCACACGTCGGACACGTGCCTTAAGGAGAATAACTCCCCAGTTTTCAGGCCAGTATTACAGCCAGGTGTGCAGCATGGCTAGCAGAGAGTCAGGGAATTCTGCACGGGCCTGTCTTTAGGATGGAGGGGTCTAAGGAAAGATTTTATTTCCCAAAGCAGAAATGATTTCCTTAATACCTTCAGGCCAGGCATTTTTCTCCCCACGCATGTATCGAACAAGAGCTCAGCAGGGCCGTGACCATCCGCAGCCCTGTGGGGAGAGCCCCGAGCCCCCCAGTCCTCACCAGGCGCAGCTGAGTCTCCTCCTTGAGCTGCTTCCGCGCCTCAGTCAGTGCCTGCCCGTCAGCACTTCTGTCCTTGGTGGCCTGAGGTAACAGACACAGTTCACTTGGTATTATTGGGTACTGCCAGCCCTCACTTGACCTCATTACTGGCTTCTCCCCAACACTTGGAATTCTGCAATAATTCAGGACAAACCAGCACAACTCCTATTTCCTGATTTGCCTCTCCCCCCACACAATAAGTCTCCCTCCCTCCCCTGACGCCTTGCCCAGTGAGCTGTAAGCTATGGGAGCTCCCGGCTCCACACACACTCCCTGCTCCATCCCTATGGGCAGGCAGGACTCCCTGTGGCAGGGCCCATCTGTTCCCTCTGCACAGGGCCCACCTGCCATTCCCCTAATCCCCTGGGGGGTTTGTCTGAGACAGGCAAGGAAATGAACTCTGTTCCAAACCAGGCATTCAGGCTGGGCCTGCCCCAGGGCTCAGCCATCACACACAAACACAGAACCACACACACACACCAACCTTCCGGCTGGACTCCAGGATGTAGGAGCTTTCCTCCTTAACCCGCTCCATCTCTTCCTGCAGTGTAATGATCCTGTTGTTGGCAACTGCAAGCTGGGAACAGAACACAATAGTTAACGCACCAAAAACACACTTGGCTTGTTTTTTTTCTCTCCTGACCCCAGCAGATGAGGAAGATTTGGCTGGAAACAGAGGATGAGCAGCACACAGCATCCTTAGGGACGAGACACCTGGCCCAGAGGAATTCCCAGGGATGACAGCACTGCAGAGCAACAGATTAATGTAAGTGTTTGGTCAAAGGCAAAAGGAACTTCAGAAACCCCTTCTGGCTTTGTAACTCACACACAGGAGCAGCTCAGAGACATTCCAAGGCATCAGCCATGCTGTCCTGTGACAAACCCAAACACAACTTCTGGATGGGAGTGTGAGTCCTTGGCAGAGCTCAGGCCCAATACACAGGGCTGTGATGTGTGACACAGGCAGGCACTGTCACCACAGCCTGCTCTGCACATGCTGCAACTTCTCTTGGCAGCTTCATTACCAAACCCCAAAACCACTGCAGGCACCACTGCAATTCACTTCCTGGTACCACACCAAAAGGCACTCACTGTGCCAGGTAAGACCTCCTGCCACCCATATGCCAGGGAACTCACCCTAAAACATTTAAATGACATTTATGCCATCAGTAATGAGCTGCAGATCCATGTTAAAACACAGACTGCACCTATGCCTCATGTACCCGCTGTTTCTCATGCTCACCCTGGACACCTCACTTATAATGACATTTTTTTCCTTTACTTTTTGCAAATTTACATAAACATACAGTAGATTTTCCAGCTTGTGCTCAGTAATGACAGCCAGTGAAATTCCTTGGCAGGTCAGCTATTCCAGTTCCATCGTTTAACACTCCTCACTCTGTACACCAGACATCTGAAAGGAATCCCTCCTCCCTGGTTAATGTCTAACTCCCAAAGGCAAAAGCACCTGGTGGTTTTTCATGACACTTACCTCCTCTGTCAGCTTTGTGTTGGATTTCTCCAAGGCATCCACCTTGGCCTGCAGGTTGTTTACTGTAGCACTGTTGAAGAGAAAAAATCCTACAGTAATTCCTTCATTTTTAAAAATGCTGTTTTGTCTTTTGTTCTACAAAGATAATAAAGAGCCAAGAAGAAATGTGTTACCTTAGATGTCTGTTGAGCTCTTCAACATAGTTCTTCTGGTCCAAAATAGCAGTTATCTGGCCATCTCTGGAAAAAAGAAACAGGGCAGCCTGGAACACCTGAACACACATTCCCAAGAGGGGAGCATGAAGACAACTGTGTGTGCACCTACCCTTCGCTGCCTTTCGTGCTGTTCCCATCTTTCAAATACATGGAGAAATCAATAACTCCGACCTGGAGAAGGAAAATTTGCATTTTGCATTAAACACTTGGTTTCTAAAGCCAACGCACTGTTGCCAGGTGTGGAAGGTCAGAGTTACAACATCAGCACCTGCTGTACTTCAGCAAGGGCTCATTACATCAGTAAGCTATGCAAAATTAATGATTTTTTCATTTTAAATGAGCAGAACAAGCCCATTAAGTGAACACCCAGTACCTGGGAGTCCAGGTCCTCTCCCTTCATGCAGAAGTTGGCATCGATGACATTCAGCCCTACAAGGAGGCCAGCAATGATGGCACCTTCCTCCTCCATCATCAGTGCATTGGGCTCATAAAATTCACTGTGGGATGTAGGGAAGGAGATACACAGCAGTGAGATGGGAAAGATGATCCAGATCTTACAGGAGAGCAGAAGTGAACCTAACTGAGAAAGAGTCCAGCACTCACCTGAGAAGATCCTTTCTGTTAATCAAGGCTTTCATGTACTCTGAAAGTTTCTTCTGCATCAGAGCCAGGCGAAGCCAAGCTCTTCCTCTGCCCACAGGTGTCCTGCAAAGGGCACACACAAACCCTTCCAGACACCCTGCAAGGCACAGGCACCAACAGCTCTCACAGCCCCACCCTACCTCAAGTTCCTGCACTTCCAAGACAGAGCTAGCACTGGTGCAGAGAAATACAAGGTATGTAAACACAAATAGGTGCAGACCAATTAGGCTGTCACTGTCTCCTAACTCATGATGTTTTTCTTGCCATACTAAAAAAACTTCCCTGGCTTTATCCCTGCTGGATGCTGCCAGACAGATCAGCTGCTTCAGCTCATCACCTTCTGAGTCACAACCAGTTCTGTCTTAGTGACAGGAACATGCACAGACCAGCACAGCTGCCCAACATCACTCCTTGGGGTGGGTGGAGCTGGATGGGAATGTGGCCAGGCAGCTCAGAAACACCAACTCAGTTCTGCTCTCCTCAGGTGCTTTGGCCCTGAATGCCCTCACAGGATGCCATGGGCTCGAGTGCCAGTCCTTGCTCTCTTTTCTCCCAGCCACAGGGAGCGTGTGGCTCTAAGGCTGACCTGGATGTCTGAGCTCACCTGGCACAAGCAGCAGCCCAAGGAAGCCACGGCCAGCACTGCCCACCCCCGACTCACTAACAGGATCTGGCACTTCCCGAGGGTCACTGTGAGCACAAGGTTTAGAAATGCATCCTAAACTGTTCTTTGCTTCCATTCATTTCCTATTGCAAAGCTCTACAACAGGAAGAGGTGCCAGGAGCTCTGGCACTTCACTGGTCCTGTCAGCTGCTGCAGAAGTCCTGCACACACCTCCAGGGAAAGCATCTGTCTGTATGAACATGACTAAATACTAACCCAAAGTAATTTTTTGAATTTATCCAACTATTCTTTCAGCAAAGATGACTCCATCCTTAGTCCTGATCCTCATACAAAAGCTTCCTTACCCATTTTTTCTATTCCAGGCTAAAAGCTTCTTACAGTTTCTCTTACCATGAAATAGGCAAGCCTGAATGTGATGTCTGAAATTCCTATGAAACTTTTACAAGTAATATATGCTTGCTGTGGCTTCTTGCTTCCCCTCTTGAATACAAACTACAATCCTCTTGAGAACTGGTGCCTAAGCTTTCCTCTCACATACACTATACCTGAAGTTATTTACAAGAAGAATTGCTTACATCAGCCTCAAAACTATTTAAACTGTTATAACCTTTCTGTTAATTCCCCTCCTCTTGAGTCTGACTTCATAAATGCTCAATAAAGGCTGTTCCCATGCCTGAGGCACAAGCAGTAAATGCACTGCTGCCCATAAGTTGCCACGCTCCTAAGAGAGTGAGAATATATCCTGTGCTCTCCTGCTGCAGATCCTTGATGGAGAGTAAGAGAGCAATGATCCATTTTTACCTGCAGAAGGTGGCAGATGCATTCCTGAAGGTTCTGTTTGCCCTTCCTTCTCTTTTTCAGGATCCCTCTCACAATAAATCCATATTATGTACTCGTGCAATAAACAAGTGTACTTACTTGAGCCCTGGAAGATCCTTAACACTTGCTGTAATCTCTGCAGCCTCAGGAACAAGTTTTTCTACTAATTCTAGAGGTCCCCAAAATGACTTATTTTGCCCAAGAAAAGTCTTTTTGGCTAAAAACAAAAAGAAATAAAAAATGATCCAGTTAGACCTGTGCTGATAGAACACATTTTCAAACAAGTGAACAAATCAGCCAAATCTTGCCAGAATGGTTCCTCTGGGGCTGCTGCTGGACAGGCACTTGGTATTCTGGAATCTCAGGATGGTTTGGATGGGAAGGACCCACCATTTCCCACACCCTTCAGCTTCCCATCTCCATCTACAAGGACACAAGGACAGCACCTGAAGGCCAGTCCATACTTGGCCATTTGAGCTGTGACTTTGGATTTCAGAGTCAAGCACATGCTCTGCTTTAAAATCAGCTTCAGCCATGAGCTGCACACAGCCGAAACCCTGTTTAGAGAGGGCTGTTGAGAAAGGAGCTCTGGGGTTGCAGTTCCTCTTCCAGCAAGGGGATGCACTGCTAGAGCACAAGGAAGGGCAGGAAAGGGAGTCACAATCTTGCCAAAAGCCAGTTGAGTCCCTGATCACTGACTTACACCTGGGACAGCTGAACTGCTGTTTTCAACACGGCAAGCACCTGTCACAGCTCAGCCTCCCCTCCAGCAGGCTCTGTGCCTTGCTCTGGCCTGCCCAGTGCACTGTGGTGGCAGCAGTGACCGTGCCAGCCTCTCCTGAGTCCCGTGGAGGCTGCAGAGCCCTGTTGCTCCCCAGGGCAGGCTGTGCCCAGGCTGTACCTTTGAGGCCGTGCTTGAGGCAGTGCTCCATGACCACGAAGAACTGCTGCAGGGGGGCGTAGTCCGAGTCCAGCGTGCGGCCCAGGTTCAGTGCGGACTCGATCAGCCCCTTGATGCTCAGCTTGGCCATGTTCATCAGGTTCATGCGCTCGTTGGCCATGAGATAATTGGGGTCTGCAACAAAGCAGGGAAACTGCTGCTGAGCAACAACAGCTGCCTTTATTACACTCAACACCCCACCTTGCTCTTGCTTTTCCTCAGCTTTGAAGGCATTTTTGGGGCAGTGAGTTTCCCAGGAGGCACTCTGCAGGCCTTTTGTAGAGAAAAATCAACACCAACTAGCAGTTTAGGGCCAAAGCCACAGTGGCATGGCAATAGACAATGTATCATACTGAGGGTGCCTTAATACTTCAAATAACTACAGCACTTCCCTACTTTCACAAAAGACACATTTGGAGCCTGGTGTTCATCCTGTGCTTGGCATCTTGACAACGTGTCTCTGACCATCACTTGTTCCAACTCACATCCCCAGCTACAAACCAGTAAGAATCCTCCACCTGTGCTTTGCTCTTCCATCTAAGGATCACACTGGACCCTCTCACACTTAATCCAGCAACATGTGTCCTCTATCCCAACTTGTATCTCTCTTCCTCAAGACTATTTTTTTAAGCTTAGATGTAACGTGGAGCCAATTCCCACTTTCCTCTCTTGGTTTTAACACTGCCACTGGTTTTCACCAGTGAGGAGCTGATCTTCATGGCTCCTGACGGGTCACACTAAACCCCCAAATTCACAGATGTCCCAGGATTATATTCTTTCTCTTCCACATTATAAACATCCAGACCTTTAGGCCTGCTACTCACACCCAAGTTTTGAGCTCCAGTTCTTGGGTGCAGGCAGTTTCATCCCTGAAAATCCCCTGCTTATCCAGGGCTGCTGCCAACAGCCAGGGACCCTTGAACCAAGCTGTCACCTCGAGTTAATTAACTACTCCTGGCAGCAGAGACCTGACCTGAGGACACCTCAGACTACAGATCTACGCAAGAGGCACCTGTCAGCATCCACCAGCTAGAGAGAGAGCCAAGAGCCCACTAACACACCCACACCCGAGTGCACCTCCCTGTGGGCTGGGAAAACCCAGCACAGGCAGGGGGAAGAGCCAGGGCAGTGCCAGCATCCAAACCTAAGAGCACAGCTCATTTGTTCAGCCTTCCAAAAGCAGCTCAGGACAGCACCTCTCTTATTCCCCTTCTTCTTCAGAGGGAAGCAGCACCACATTTAAAGAAGTCTCCTTCTCTAAATTGATTTCGATAGTTTAGAGAACTTCCAAGGACTCATTCAGGAGTGCAACACTCAGAGCAGCACTAGACTGCAAAAAGATTGAACTTTGTGAGGTGTTCTCACTGCCTGTCAGGACTATTGCTGCCTGAAGGTGATGGGTCTGGATGCCCTGGAGTACCCTGAGCTTGTGAGCTGCTCTGGATTTCCAATCCTTTTTCTGCCCTGCAGTGTAGCTAACAGTCACCATCACTGGGAATGGAGACTCAGGAATGAGTCAGGCACAGGACTGCCAGCACAGAGACTCCCTCATCCTCTCTCATTGCATTTCCTCACTGGCCAAGGCTGCTGCTCTGCTGGGTAGCAAGTTATCCACAGTGACTCTGCCTCGGAGGGAAAGCCATCCCTAACACAAAATTAGAGGAACTGTACAAGAGAGCACCAAAGAAAATGCTCCTTTGGCCGTGGTTATTGGCTAATTTCAATAGAAAAGTATTTTCACCATATCACACTAATCCAAGGTTTCTGCTTCCTTAGTCTGCTCTGAGCAATTGTGCTCTGCACATGCAGTTTATCCAAGATTCCCATCTTGAAAACCAGTTCGCTCATATAGTGTGAAACTGGATAAAATCCCTAAGGTTTGTTCCAAAAATTAAATGCTAAGTAACTGATACTCTTGCTCTATGTACTGCCCCACGCACAGCTTTAAAGAAGGCAGGGTAGGCAGGCAAGACTGACTTGTACATGGTAAAACTGTCAGGCTGCCTTTGAGCTGGGACAAGCGCGATCCTGGTGTGCTCCATCTGAGCTGGTACTTTCTCCAACTTCCTTCTGCCTCTAACTGCAAAACCTTTGCCTGGCCTTTCCTACACAGCCCACATCATAAACCTTAAAGGAAATCCCCAGCCCTTGAGCTTGGCTTCCCACAGGGTTTGGGTTTTAAACAAAGGAATGTCCTCTTAGGACATTTTGTTATTTAAATATTGCAGCTTCTACAGAACAGACATCTTTTCTAACCAGCTGCTTCCATGAAGATGTTTCCAAAAGCATTCGAAAATCCTGTAATTTGTTTAAATGGTACAATCTGAACCCAGGAACCTGAAAGTCAAGAAAGAGTCAATGCAATACAGGATCTCAAAGGGTTAAGCTGTGACTGGTCTTGGTACTTCTCATTTGGTGACAATAAATTTTTATCACTCCTCATACTTACTCTAAAAGAAGGAAGAAGCAACTAAAATGAAGCTAAAACTTGGATCAACAGCAGGGAACGATGAGACACTGGAGAAGTGAACAAACCCACAGCAAGCAATGCCAATTCACTGGCATTTCATCACCGTTCTCCATCTTACATCAGGAACAACAACTTAAGGTAAATTTAACACGGCTGCTTCTGTGTGGCAGAGAAACACCTCTCACCTGACAAAATAAATGCAAAACAACTTGTACTATATTCTATGAAAAAAAAGAAGTCTCAAGCCCCTCTTTTTTCCTAAAAGGCCACCTTGGAAAATGCCCTTCTCTGGGAAGCAGCACGGGCTGCTGTGCCAGGAGAGGAGGACACTGGCTGTGGGCAGCACCGGGCACAGAACCAGCAGAGCAGTTAAAGGCACCACGGTGGAAGATGACAGCAAGGACCAGTGTGCTCAGTGCATGACAACATCAGCCTTTTGTGCTGCAAACACCTGAAACCCTTGCAGGAGCAGCTGTATTTAATCATCAAAGTATCAATCTGATTAACCACTTGCTACATTGAGAATTCAACTATTTCATATTTGTACAGTTTCTTAAAAACCAAGGAAAAAGTGCTATAAATAAGTTTGTCATTTAGTACTTTACAAGTTTTAAAAAAATTAGCAATGCAAGTTTTAGAATAATTTTTGCCAAGCCTTGGCAAATACTGCCAGAAAATCTAAAGAATCTAGACAGAAATACTGCAGAAAACCTAAAGCTTCAGAGTCATTTCTGAAATATTTTTTTAAATTCAGCTTCCATATGTTGCTGCAACCTTTTAAGCCATGCTTCTGCCAGGCTCAGGAAGTTACTGCCTCTGAAAGCATTTAGGAGAAGGCAAACAGCCCTTGTTGATCTACTTCTTCTACCTCCACTTCAGGTCAAAATAGCAAAAAAACCCGCACACATTTATTTAAGCAACACCAAGGTAATGCAGGAAAGCCACAACTACTGGCACTGGAAAGGGAAGCTAACTGCATTTTGCACTCAGGCTCAAAATAATAGTGCAGAAGCCAAGGATTAGCACAAACAAGAGCTGTGAGATGTGGGTGTGGAACGCACCTTCGGAATCATCGCGCAATTGCTCCACCACATCTGTCAAATCCTCCCAAGAGTCTTTGCAAACAGCAAAAGGAAAGGAAAAGAAAGAAAAACGTCATGCAAGCCGTGATCTAAAGGAAAGATTCAAAATCAAGGTGTAAGAAAAGCATAACTGAAAGGGAGATTTGCATCATACAAGACTTAATTCATAGTGGCAAGAGATCTGCAAGTCAAAAAGGTTCATTAGTTTGCACAAAGCAATAGAGCAAAGCATTTTTCTCCCAGAGTCAGACCAGGGCAGGCTTCAGAAAAGCTGCAGAAGTTTTGTTTCTGCATTAACACAAGCAAAATTTTTGTAAAGCACATCCTAAAAAGAAAAGCAACAAAAGCATTACTTTATTTATAAGATAAAAGCACTAAACTTGTGATACTTATGCAATGTCAGCTTTTCCTTCAATTTCCTCACATCCAGCCGCAAGAGGAGCTGCTGGCAGGGACACAGCCACACGTGGAAAGCAGGCACGTTCAGGGAAAACACACACTGAGGTCATTTTAGAGGTTCAGCAGAGCCTAAACTCTGTTATGACCCTCGCCCCAAATGCCAGATCCCGCAGAGCCCTACGTGGGTCCCAGGCTGATGACGATCCCCAAGGACTCAGTCAGGGGAGCACCTCTCTCCTTGGCGGGGCCAGGGAGGTATCCTGGGAGAGGAGCAGGCAGGACAAGGAGAACTGGTATCAGCACGCCCACCAAGTCCCTGCTCCAAACTCAGCGAGCCGAGCCAGACAAAGCCCCGGACCCCGGACACTGTTGGCTCCCTACTTACGCACCCGCGCTCCCCAGCGCTAACCCGCCATCGGCACAACGTCCAAAGCCCGGCAGAACTCCGGCCCCTTCCCTAGCCAGCTGTGCCGACGATCTGAGCAAAGTCCAGAGGCTGCCCGGCCCTCCTCCCTCCCACACAGCGCCCGCCTCCTGCCCCGGGAGCCCCAGCGCCGGAGCCGAGCCCAGAGCCGAGCCCCGTGTGCCGCACGGCGCTGCCCGGCGGGCCCCGCAGCCTCACACCGCGCTACGGAGACCGAGCCCCAGCGCCGCCCTGGGGATGAGCGCTGCTGCAGGAGCAACAAGCGCCGTCCCTGGAGCACAGCCCTGGTGTCTAAAGCCAAAGCCCGGGTGATCTCTCCCCCACGTGCCACAGTGATGGCTTCTGGTCTCTCATGACAGGTGCTGCAGCTTCCCAAGGGCCGGGAAACTGAATCTCACCGCAGTGCACCAGTCCCTGACGCTTCCAGGGACCCCGGCACTCAGATCCAGATGTTGATCATCCCGGAATCCCTCCCTGCACCCAGTAAGGGAAGCCACACACCACCACTGCAAGGTCTTTTATCTAAAATTGGGAGGTTGGATTTTTTTCTTAACCCAAAACAGGGAAGAACATACAACAAACAACATGGAAGTCTTCTACAGGGAAGAACATACAATCAAAACCAGATTTATCAGTACCTGGGTAACAGGCACTGAGACAACTGACAGGCTTAATTTCATCTTTCTCATTTACTTTTAACCCTTAGCAAGTAACCCACGTAAAGCTCCCAGAGAAATATCTAGAGGAGTCACAAATATTTTCTTCTCTTCTATCCCTACAAGCCATAAGCCTGTCTTCCTCCTAGCAGGAACTGCATGAATTTAAACTGGTACTATGGCATTTGCATAGGTTTAGAGGCAAAAGCACACACTTAATTAGCACTTTCTTTCCTATTTTCATTCATTCTACATGCATCTAGCTGCACTTTGCATAGAGTTCATCTCTTTCACCTTGTGTATTTTCCCACTTGTCTGGAAATTCCACCAAGCAACAGTGGGGGAGGAAAAACATCTTCCCACAGAACAACAAAGACCTAAAATTCTATAGTTTCCATGGTCTTTTGGGGGTGTGAAAAACTCAGTACTTTTGATTATGATGGAAAGTATTTAATTCACTATGTAGGAAGTTTAGATAACAGGATAATCAAGGCTTTTAAGTCTCCATAACACAATTAACTCATTCCAACCAGATTCCTGGGAAGATTAGTATTATGGAACTGAATATCCCATTGGAATGAACACTCAAGCCAGTTCTTCAGGAAGGGACTGGAGAACTTGTCTCTAATACATTAATCACAAAAATCCCATCTGTTATTTGGACAACAGAGGGGTTTGCAGTCACTCTCTTGGCTGACACAGCAGCAGTATCTCACTGAAGGAGAGGCAATACTTTCCCAAGCCAAAGAAAGCTTTTACAAGTAAATCCTGGGAGAATGAAACAGCATCAAAATTATTTCACACTGCTGCTCAACATTTACTTGGTTTTTAAGGGTTGAGGTTATTGGGCTAAAACAGAGCTGGGAGTCTAAGCCTTTCTGAACTAATGAACATCATCTCACACACAGCCTCTGGATATCAAGTTCCTCCAAAGACAGATTAAATAAAATTACAGAATCACAAACTGCCTTAGGTTGGAAGGGACTTTGACATCCATCCCATTCAACGCCCCCTGCTTCTGTCCCCTGCATGGACAGGGACACCTTCCCCTATTCCAGGTTGCTCTAAGCCCCAACTTGGCCTTGGACACTTCCTGGGATGAGGCAGCCACAGCTTCTCTGGGAAACCTGTGCCAGGGCCTTACCACCCTCACAGGGAAGAGTTTGTTCCATCAGGAAAAAAGGTCACACACTTTTCAATAGGTCAGGACTTCTAAAATTATTTTTAAGTACAGAAATTTTAAACAAACTCATGGGGAGAGACTGAGCCAACAGTAAAATAACCTAAAAAACCCCAAGGCATCAGTTTTGGGAAATGAAAACTGAACTTGATACAGAAAGTCCTGAGTGAAGCTGCCCAGTCAGCCCTGCTGCTGGGAAAGCCTTGGCCCAAATCTGGAGAAATATTCCTTTATTATGAAAGGGGGACCTCTGGTAGCATTACTACACTTGAATTGCATTCTGATATTCTTTACCTTAGGAATATGTTGAATAGCAAATAAAGAGGCCAAGGGAGAAAATTAGGTAGATGCTGTTCATGTTATGGGAGGTACAGAACTAATTCTTTCAGGTTAGGTTTGCCAACATGATGGATCACTAATTGTTAACAAAGAAAAGGGATCTGCAAAGGGTTTCAGCATCATACTCTTAACACCCTGCAAGCCCAAAATCGGGGAAGTCACCGGCTGCCTGCAGCCTGGAATGCCAGGAACCATCTACTCAGGACAAAAAACCATTTCTTTTAAAACTCCCTGCATAAACATTCCATCTCTAAATAAACACGTATACACAGAAAGCCTTGCCTACAGAAGAAAAGAGCAGTCTAAGATCTGCCAGAAATCAGAAGGAAATAAAGAAGTACAGACAATTTGGAAATTCCCAGCCCACTCTCCATTACACCTATGGGACAAACAAACAGCCATGTGCATCACATGAAGTCACAGCTTAATTCCACCCTTACTCCCATCCCCACATGATTGCCATCAAATAATCACCTGATTTCTCTATGTTGCTGCTGTGTGCAGCTGTATGGAATGTTTCTGCACAACCAGCCTGTTTTCAGAGGGAAACACATGACTAACTGCTATGGGAAATTTCTCACCCTATGTTAGTCCTTGACAGTTTACACCAAGAAAATAAAAGCCCAAACTCTTGGGGTTTTTTCCCCATCTTTCACTTCCCAGTTCAGCTGACACCCAAGTGGTTTCCCTGCAGCACTTGTGACTCGCCACCTCTGAGGGATAGAATCCTGCCCCAAGCTCCCCAGCTGACTTCAGTTAGACTGACACAGCTTAAAAGAGCAAAGAAAATAACTCTTAAGAGTAATTTCTGCATTGAAGTCTGGATTACATGACCTAACTGCTACTCCCAAGATTTATAACCACAAACACGCTGTAATTCATCTAACTTGCATTTACTGACTTCACATTTCTTCTGTTAAATCACGTCTCCAGCTCCTTCAAACTTCTCATCTATTTAGGGGTTTCTATCACCAGATGCGTTTTAAGAGGCTTTTTGCAAATACAGTCATCTCATGTGGGTTTTTGTCCACATCTGAAAGGATCTTTCCACTCCCAGTACAATTCAGATTTATTTTCTAATGGGAAAGGCCCAAGGGACTGAAAAATCCCACCTCTCCCATGACTTTACTGTTCCTATTCCACACTACTGGAGAAACCCTAAACCCAGGTTAACTGTTGCCAGTTTGCACAACAAAAGCATTATCAGTAAGGTTATGCTGCTTCCCTACATCATTTTGAGGTACGAAAAACACTTGGATAGAAAATGGAGAAAAAAGGTAAAATCTGACTGATGATTCAGTAATCAGTGCAACAGATTAATGGGCAGGAGGTTTTAAGAAGAACATTTGCTTTTCCTGAAGATGTCTGTAACTCCTTGTCAGGGCATTCTACACAAGGACATGCCAGAAACTAAAACTTTTAAATTACTGGTCAAAAAAGAAGAAAAAATCTGACGCTAGCTTCTGCCCTATAGAAAAGATAATTTCATCTTCACATATTATAAATTCTAATTCTAATTTCTGCTCTTAGTGCAAATAGAGGAGGATTAATAAAGAGAGGAATACTGTAATTCCTCAAAGTTCTCTCAAGTTAGCACATGTATTCCTTCTGGATGCTACTATAAGGTGATCTCATAAGGACAAAAATTTCCACAGCCCTTACTGTGAAGCTCCTCATGATTATTCAAGATAAAAATTTAACACCCAGTTAAACAGCCTAAAAAAAGGCCATTTTGTGGAACTTCTCCCCACAGCTGACAGCAGTGTTCAATGCCATCCATACACACACTCTGTTCAACATTAAACAGAATTACAGTCCAGGTGGTTTTTACCTCCATCCCTAAAGCTGCCTCCAAGACCGTCACACGCACTGCAAGCAAACAAAGTTAACAACCACCAATGTCACATTTAATTCTGAGGGGCCTGCAGAGGACAGTAAGGTTCTGAGAGTCTTATTAAGAACACAGCCTGTTTAAAAAAAATGAGTTCTTTCTCTAATCCAAGCAGCTTTACAGTAAGCAGCAGAATCTGCTTATTTTCATATACACACAGAATTGTTTCAATCAACTGAAAAAGCGTATTAATTGCTTTTATTGTTAAATTGAGTGGCCATGCTACAGGTAATATGGAACATATCCAGTTGCAAGCAACTCAGTACCTGCTGCTTGTTTTTAATTTGAAGAAAAGTTTTGCTTAGCTGTTCTCAAGCTGCAGCTCTGTGCAGACTGGAATTGCTGTGATTGAAGGCAGGATGGTTGCTCGAGGGCTGGGGCACAGCAGATCACAGGGTGAAGAGAGGCCAGGGACAAAACTCTCCAGAAGCAGCAAGAGCTGAGGGACAGCAAATGGAAGGCTTCAAATATTAATCCAACAAGCTGTTTGATTTGGTACTTAGTGCAACATATATTTTACATCTCTTGATTTCTAAGGAGAAAACTGTCCCTCTTTGTTATGCCTCTGGAAGAATTCCACAGCTTGTTTTTTCCTTCTTCATAATGCCTACCTTTGCACATCAGTTTTGTTTTTGGAGACACTGCCAGGGACACAAGCCCACGCTGCTGTCCCCCTGACCTGTGCACACCCTGCAGACACAGCAGCAGTGCTGATGCAGGAGCACCAGACCAAACACCAAGATACAGCTGTGTCAGCTTTCCTATTGTCAACGCTCTTCCTGACCTTCTCTGTTCAAAATACAGCTTGGAACCAAATACACTCCCAAACAGCCAACCAGCAACCTTCATTTACCAGGAAGGTTGTTACAGTGCTGCTCTTTTGCGTTTATTTTTGATACTTGACTGTATTTGTATATGTATAATTACACCTTGTACATATACATATGTATATGTATAATTACACCTTGAAAAACACAGGAGTGAGACCAAGGAAGGTCTCAGTGTAACACACAAGAACATGGGAATTGGAAGACAACTGAATTCCTGCTCACCCAGTACTCACCTCCCTGAAGCCCTGGGATATGCTTCAGAGGGAATGCTAAATTTCTCCCTTTGAAACTTCTGTCTGGTATCCCACTGTGTGACTAAGTACTTGGCAAGCCAAATCCAAACCCAAGGGCTACTGTCACTGAAAGTAGCTGTCAAATGGAAATGAAATTATCCCTTGGAAATTTATTTTAAAGCTTAAATCCCCACCACAATTTCACTTGCCTTATTCAGCAAGACAATATAAGACACTGCTGACTTAACTAGGCAGCATCAAACGGACCAAGCCAGACTGCTTGGTGGAGTGGCATTTCAGGAGTTACTGGAAAAGGGTCAGGCATGAGAAGCTGGGGTCTCCTTGCTCTAAAACCAAAAGGTGCATCCAGCAAGGGCACTCAGAACCTCAGCATCTGCAGAAACTCATCACCTCTCCTTCTTCCCCATTTTTTTATTGGCAGAGCACTGCACAGATGTCCTGTCATGCTTTTAGTCCTCAGTGCATTCAATCCTTGTCCTCCTATTAAACTGTTTATCAACCCAAAATCCTTTTTCCAGGGGAAAGCAAGATGTGCTACATCCCCACGTTTCAGGCTTCCAAGCCATTCCGAACAGCAGCACGCTCATCAGAGGCGAGCTGGGGCACTGTGATGGCATCGTCACCTGACAATGGGCACCGCTGCGTAATCGCTGGGGCTTTCCAAAAACTCCCCACGACCGGGCACACGCTGCGGTTCCCCGGTACCAGCCGGCTCCTCACTAACACAGCTCTCAGCCCCGGGTTAAGGGCAAAATCATGATTAAACGGTCTCACCGAGCACACACCACGGTTTTCTTCCTTCCTGAGATACACAAACCTGATACAGCTAAAAAGAGAATGCATCACCCATCTGCCTTAAAGGGCTGGGTTACAAATTCGGAGGGCAATCTGAAGCAGCAGTCTGGCTCTCTGCTGTGCCCACGGCTGTCCAGGCTCCGCAGGCAGGACACGAGAGTGCGGTCCCGGAGACGCCCCCTCCCAAGCGGTGCAGCGCCGGAACAAAGCCGGCCCGGGGCTCCCGGGGCACAGCCGGACCGTACCTTCGTGGGTAGGCTCGGGGTCGGGTGTCAGCGAGATGTCATCCAGCTCGCGCAAGCACAGCCACTCTCCATCCATGGACACGCGGAATTTGCAAAGATAGATGGTCTCCATGGCAGCCTGAGTGATCTTGTCTGTGGTGGGGGTTGGCATGTCGCTTTGAGGCGTCAGAGCAGACATGATGACTCAGCTGGTACAACAACAACGGGGGCAAAATAAGGACTAAAAACAAAAGCTTTCTGAAGAAGAAAATCAGAAATACCTTGCGATTAAAGGACAGATTGCTCAGGATCACAGAGGCTGCTCTGGCCTTTTCATAGATCAAGCAAGGTAAAAACGCTGCTCCTTCCCGCTTAGCTCTGCCTCCCTCCTTTCCACCGACTGCCGTCGTCTCCAGCTATTGCTAGAGGCTATTGATCCTTAGCATCCACAAAAACCTGGCTTCTCCACCAGCGGCAGCAGGGAAAAACAAGTAAAAAATAAAAAGGAAAAAATAAAGAGGCAGCAGAATCAAAGAACAGTGTCTTCCTCTGGTGATGACCCCAGAAAAAAAACAAAGGACGAGCGGAGAGGCAGTGTCCCGGTGGCCGAGCGGCGAGCGCTGCTCCCGTCTCCCGGCGCAGCCCGGCAGCGAGTGCCGCCGGGATTGGCTGTGCGCAGGGAGCAGGGTGGCGACCAAAATGGCTGACTAATGAACAGAGCTGGAAATCCAGGCTCATGTGATCGCCTGCGATTCCCAGGATGCTGCCGAGACGCTGCTGATGCGGGGCCGGCAGTCAGGCGCTCCTGGGCACAGCAGCTCCGGGCCGGGCTCTGCCAGCCCGCTGGGGAGCGAGCGCAGCACCGCCGCACCCCCATCCCTCGCCCCCGGAATACAAAGGAGCAGCGCCAGCAATACAAAGGCACATTTGTATTCCGCTCACATCCCTGCATGCCACTACAGGAATTCAATCGGCATCTTTGTTTTCACGGGAGGTGTGCAAGGCGCAGTTTGGTTTTTATTCGCTGTGCCATCTTCTCGGGGGCACCTTGGAGCTAGAATTTCCCACGTACAAAAAATGTTAGGATGGATTTATTGTCTCAGGGTAACAGGAAGGAAAAAATGATCTTGCTCTAAGCGCTCCAGTGACTGAGGATGAAGCTCTTTTAAGCAGGGCATGTGCACATAGGAGGACAATAAAAGAGAACACCACCAACACCATGACCCAATCTTATACTTTAAAAATCTCCCCTGAAAATTGTGCTGCTCAGGTGAGGCTGACAAAGAAATATTATTACTCAGCAGGAAGAGAAACAGGCTTCCAGGCTCTCAACAATAATATAATGATAGTATTTTATAATAACACCACCACATTCCCTGTCCCTTCCTGACTGGCTGAACCTCACCTGCATCCCCAACCCACAGGGTCCTGGTGCTGGGGGACAGGAGGTCCCAAGTCACCACACAGGCTTCTCGTTCCCAAAGTTGCTAGTGTCACCACCCACTTCAACAACCCTATCAGGCACTAATAAATGAGCTTATCCGACTTCATTCCTGTGTGGCTCCAATGTATTTGGGGAGAGCAGATGTGTAACACCCATCTGAAATGGACAGACAGTCAGCCTTGGAGAAGGCTGGCACCAGAACAATATATTGATAACACATGCCCAATGTACCGGACCTTGATTACTCACCCTGCTTTTTGTTCCCCTAACAAATACTCAGAGGGAAGCACATGTTTCTTGGGGATGTGAAATGCCAAAACAGAATGCTGGATACAGAATTCAGCATGCCAATGCAGACAGCTGTCAGGAGAAAATGGCACCATCATGTACATAAAACTGGGCAAGAGGATTAAGTGCTGCTATTTTTGACTGGCAAGAGGAAGCAGTTACTTTTGGTGAAAACTTCCCGCTCAGTGCAGCGCATTTTGACTCAGCAGCTCTTTCCCCATTAGGCCAAACCCAAGCAAGCACCAGGCAGCCTGTTCTGCCGGCGACGCAAAGGGCAATTATCACACAGAAAACAAGAATTACTATTGTTTCTTTTCCCCAACAGAACAAAGTTCATAAAGCGTGCTGACAGCATCTTAACTCCTATATTTATATACCCATTCAGCAGTCACAGCCTCTAGCTGCAGCATCCACATTGCACCACCCCAAATTCTCAACACAGTGGCAGGGCCATGTACCAACTGCTACACAACAGCTGCTGGCCCTGGCTAACCCTTGGACAGGGTCTAAACAAACCCTTTAGAATCAACAAAGCACCACAAGCTATTGCTCACGTTATTATCCAACACATCTCACTACAGAGAGTTTAATTTCTTCGTTTTCAAAGCAATTAGAAATACCAAAGCACTGGGTGTAACCCTGCAGCTCCCATTTCACAACATGGGTGTTCAGCTGAACTCAGCACAGGCAAGTGCCCTGCACATCAGGATCACAGGGAAGGTCTGCTAAAAAATCAGGAACCGTTCAACTTCTACTGGTTTGCTTTTAACACACTGAAAGAACAGAAGCCAGTAATTGCCTTCCAGCTGAAGGGAAGTTCTATTTTCAGGCTCCTTTATGCAATGATCCTGCTGCAAGTACTCCACAGAGATATTTAAAGTACTAGGAAAATGTTCCTTAACTTTGACTTATTTCCAAAGACCAAAAACAACCCCCAAAAAAAAACCCCAAACAGGAGGTGTTTAACTTATGACTTTTTATCTTTTTATCACCACCTGAAAACCATAAGACAAGCTTTTCCCTATCCCCATCCTGCGCCCTAAAGTGTTTAAAAGCAACAAACCATCTCATGAAGAAGCAAAAGAAAAGTATCAAATGTAATGTTCCCATAAAACCTTTCATAAAGCTACCAGGCAACTCAAGGGTACCTGATAAGGCTCCATCAGGGTTCCAGGATGGTCATGGACACAGGGAAACCCCAATCACAGATAAATGCAGAGGAGGTTCTTCAGGATGAACCACTTTCTCCATCTCAAACCAGTCAGGCAGCCTTGACTGGTCCTACAAACCCTCCTGTGAGCTACACTTTGGCACAAGCCCTTAAAGGCTTTGGCTAGATTGCAAAACACAGCAGGGAGCTGCCAAAACATTTTTAAGATTAAATAATCACACACTGACTGCATTGGAATTTTCAGACCAATTACCTGAACACCAAGCACTCCCTCAGCCACCAGTATTTGGGAGGTCAGCTGTACCACAAAGTACTTGGAGTTTCAAAGCTGAATGAATTAGAATAATCTACACAAAGAAACCCAAACAAATTGCCGAAGCACCCTCAGGACTCCAGGGAGCATCTTTGGGTGCATTTCTATTTTCAGGGCCTGCACAGGAGCAACCCGTGCTTCCATCATTAGGAGAAAGATTTCCCCCTCACTGCATAGAGATTGCAAAGCAAGAAGGACAAAGCCATCTCTGACATGGAATGTAATCTAAAAAGATAAAATTAGCAACACAGCATCTACACAGCAAAGTCTGCTTCTGACTCTTTTGCCAGGACAGATATGCACATTAGCTCAAATACCAGCTACTCCCAACCCTACAAGCTCAAACAGGAATGGCCAAAAGGAGGTTTAACAATCCAAAATCCAGTAACAATTTCTTAATTAAGAAGTGACAAATTTTTCTTTACCTACTGTGAAACACGGAGATATTATTTAGGGATTAAAGTAACTCTCATAAGTGAAGAAAAGGGAAGGAAAAGTCTACTTCAAGTGTCATGGTATTGAGCAGGCTTTCAGTGAGAACAAGCAAAGTTCTGGGGTTTGGTTTAGGGTTTTTTTAAGGACAGCCTAATCAAGTTGCTTTTATTTTGTTCTAAGGTTTTGCTGCAGGTCAGCATGTTTAAGTACATCACCTTGTTCCTTCTGTCTGGAGCCACCTGTAACAAGTAAGCAGGTGCTGCTGCCATGAAGAGCTTTTGCAGTCTCCTTCCATAAGCAGCTCTGGCCTTCACCTGATGTTTGGAATCAGGTAAGAATACAACAGAATAGTTCAAGGATTGAGTTGTAACAGGGAAAAAAAAAGACTTGAAACAAACCTCCAAAATATTGTGAAATACTTTTTGGTGTAGTGGCCACTGCCTCCCTGTAACACTTTGCAGCAGAACTGCTCCTGCTGCTCTGCGGGAACAAATGAAAGATGCTCTTAGAAATGTGAGAACTGGAAAAAAAAAAAAAAAAAACACAGCAAGAAAAAAAGAAATGGTGGGAAAAAGTGATTTACTGAATTTACTGACAGAGTTTGCCCCAGAAGACAGAGTTCAAGACACCATGCAAATACATGCTGATTCCTGCTCCCTTCAGACACTGCATCAGTCAGCCCCTGAGCAAGCTGTGACACCCAATACTGCACAGGCAGCTCCACCTCCATGGCTCACAAAAACAAGGGAACTTTTATATGCATCTTGTAAAGGTTTCTCACAAAGCTTACCTGAACAATCACTGCAGAATAAGGCTGACACAAGATAAAGCATTTCTCAACCACTGAGCTTCTCCACCAAGTCCCTGCACATAAATGTGCTCATCTCAATGCTTCAGTTTCTCCAATGTCCAGATAAGAGGTCCTCACAAAGTTTGAACAGCTACAATTAAATATTTTTCTCTAAGTCTTCTTTTCTATCAGAAGTAGCTCAAGCCCTTGCATGCATATCACAGGGTTTACTATGGGTAAAGATCTCCTGATTAGGGAAAAATTACAAGTAAAACTGAAGGTTTTGAAAGGGGCCTGTCATTCCAAATAACAATTTTACATAGAGGAACTTTGGACATAAGTTGGCAGTCACAGACAGTCCTTCATAGAGCTCAGAGCAAAGTCACGGCATTTCACCTCCTCTTGGCATTACAGACATGGACTTCTTACCTCACTGGTTCTAACTCTGCTGAGTAATGCCTTCAAGCACATCAGCTTCCAAAGGAGAAAAAACTAGATACGCGCTCCAAACACATCAGCTCCTGAGTGAGCGAATGCTCACCTGGGACAGGAGGTGACAAAGCAAAGGCCAAAAGCTCGGTCACACACACTCTGGCAGCAGCCCAGAGGATGAAGCTGCTGGTTATTTTTAGGATGGATGGAAAAGAGAAGATCTGTTCTGTATGCACCCATGTGTGTATTTCTTATTTGATTTTAAAATACACCCAAGTACTTCAGAGTACTCCAGCTTCCACAAATACACCACAAGAACATCATAAAGAATCTTACAAAGGAGAACGCTATTTGTCACCCAACACGCCCCACACAGCGATGCACTTCAGCCTCTTCAGGTCTCCAGCGCGCAGTGCCCTCGCTACGGATTTATTTTCCGCACCAACACCAGGAGGAAACCCGAGAGGGTGTTCCCCAGTCCCTAAACTACACCCCGCGTGTCCAGGACAGCCTGTTGGATTTCCAAGGGCGGCACCGATGCTCCTCAAAGGGCTCTCTGTGGGGC